CACAAACTGTCAGTGTCAACCTTTTTTTGCAAGGTGGTGATGAAGGTCTCAGGTTCTACCAGGAAGCCAAAAGCTGGATTGATGCCCTGGAGTACTGTCAGGACGAAGGGGAAAATTCCTCCCTGGTTCATATCACCAACCAGACAGTGCAGAACGCAGTGAAATCTCTCCTCATAGACAAGACAGACAGCATGCAGAATGGGGCGTGGATCGGCTTGGAGCGGTCCATCTTTGGCAAAGACGTCCCCTGGAGGTGGACTTCAGGGCCACAAGTTCAAAAACCTGAGCAGTGGAGCAGCAATTTTCCTCATGACCGCTTAAACAACCACTGTGGAAAGATCATCTGGGTTAAAGGGTCACAAGAATTCAAGTGGCTGGACGCCTGCTGCCACGAGAAGCTACCTTTCATCTGCCAAGGTAAGCTGTTGTTTAATTTAAGGCCCAATCTGCCATAAGATTAAGTTTATAAATATAATAAGATAAATTATTAAATTAGATCTTTATTTTATCATTTCCAGCTATGAATGAAAGGTCTGGCAGTGATGATGACCATAGTGGAGGTATCTAACCCGAAAACTGTTTATGTTTCTATATTGACAGAAGCTGAATTGAACTTTCACTATGTGTTTTGTCTCTTATATCTCTGCAGATCTTACATAAAGACTGTGTGGCATTCTGGAAACACTGGAAATCCTTCCACTATTCATTTTGATATGAATTATCTTTAAATACATTAACTTTGACTGCTTAGCTTTCCTTTCCTGTAAAACCATATATACTATTGTAAGTAATGTAATGCAGATGCTTCATGTTCATTATCATTCATCTAATAAACAATTTCATCTATACATTCTCTTATTTTGGTTTATATATATTAATCAAGCGCATTCAGTGGTCAGCTCAGCTGGTAAGTGCTTAAAGCGTAAGGAAATAGGTTATATTCAGGAACTGTGTCTTCTTTCTCTACATAGTGCAGCCAAACACTAGGTAAAAAAAGACTTTGTATAGACCTACACATTTTGTTAAAACTCACCAATATGTGAAGGATGCATTGTTTATGTATGTGTGAGAGATAAGAGAAAGAGTTCATGTTCTTAATGAAGGCTTGAGAGAGAGCAGTGTGGAAAGCTTCTAGCTGCTACCAGCATCATCAGCCCCTCGGAGAGTGCTGCAGCGCTGAGTCCTGAAAATTGTAATACTATAATGCATATATTTGGTCTGTGGGTCTGGTCTATTACTTATTGGAGGATAATATCATCATACCCAAAAGGGCGGAGATACATTTTTCAGATAGATTTCATCCGAATACAGAGCCAGACGGTGCTCCTGCTGTCCTAAAGTTAGTCCTGAAATGTCTTTATAAAATTGCCTGATTTATTTATTTCTTTTGTGGGTACAATGGGCTCTCCTTGGTTATTCTGTATTTAAGTTATAAGTCTTACTTCTGCTTGATGCGCCACACTAGCACTCTCCAGGTGTTTCCCCCTGCTATGGTTTAGTGTAACTTACTTTTTGTAGTAACCTTAAAATGAAATTTTGGTTTGTTTAATATAACTAAAATTACAAGTTGGCTGAAAATATAAAAAAAACTCCAAATCGGATGTTTTTTTTTAAATACTTTATTGTATAAATGTAATGACCAACACAGCTTTTGGGCCAACACATTACACATTTATCATTTTTAAAATCACATATGCACAAAATGCACAAGTAACTGCTAGTAGGACCACAAAGTTATTTTGTCAGCAAAGTGAAAAATAGTGCAACAAAGTATTAACACAAATATGCCTAACAATTTCAACACATACAGTGCTATCACTGCGTGCCAATTGCCAAAAGTATACAGAAACTTCTTTAACCAGCTATAGCCAATGAATATTATGCATTTGAACAGTGTAGCTGACCAATGGCGATCAAAAAATATGAATACTTCTTTTAGAATTTTAAATCACACTGTCACAACAGTTTGTTGTATAATTGAACACATCAAAACTGAAAAACTTTTTCCCTACAAATGGAAGGAAAATATGTCGGGGGAAAGCCAAAAAAAATAAAACCCAAAATTGAAAAGTCCACACAGAGTAAACCAAGGGACAACAGAGTGGTTAAATAGACTAACCAGCGGGGCACGACCAAATCCTTGGGAGGAAGCGGCTATTTTAGTAAGCCGCGTAGGGGTGGCCTTAAGGAGTGGGGTCCGCAGGTTTCCGGCTGGTTGGCCAAGAGGT